CCAAACTTGTGGACTTTGGACAAACTTTTCCGTTGTGGCATTTACACTAGTCTTAATCGTGTGGCACCTCAGCATATGAGAGATGACCCATGGCGGCCCGCCGGCACCCCCCCACCAGCACAGGCATTGCGCCCAGCAAGCAGAGCTAGCTGCCCGGCGGCCCGTCGGCGCCCCCTCTTCCCCTCCCCCCGGCACAGGCATTGCGCCCACCAAACTTGTGGGACTTTTGGACAAAACTTCCGTTGTGGCATCACACTAGTCTTAATCGTGTTGGGCACCTCAGCATATGAGAGTGACCATGTGCGGCCCGCCGACCCCCCCCCCAGCACAGGCATTGTGCCCACCAAACTTGTGGACTTTGGAACAAAACTTTTCCGTTGTAGCATAGCTAGCCGCCGGCGGCCCCGGCTTCCCTCCAAACTTATGGACTGTGGACAAACTTTTCCGTGTTGGCATTTACACTAGTCTTATCGTGTGGCACCTAGCATATGAGAGATGGACCCATGGCGGCCCGCCAGCACCCCCCCCAGCACAGGCATTGCGCCAAGCAAGCAGAGCTAGCCGCCCGCGGCCGCGGCGCCCCCTCCCCCTCACCCCGGCACGGATGCGCCCTGGAGCCAAGCAAGAGCCTCTTCCCGCCCGGTGGCCTCGCCCTCGGCGCCCCTCTCCCCCCCCCCGAGCACGCGGCACTTATGCGAACCTCACCCAACTTGTGGCACCTTCTCCAATAACCCCTTCCGCTATGGGCATCTTAATCACTAAGTCTCTCATTCGTGCTTCGGCACTCCTCAGTATATTATCGACGACATTCGACACCAGTGGCGCGACGCCCTCTCGGCGATGCACTGACCCCCAGCAAACCAGGACATTCGCGCCCAGCAAGCAGAGCTATGGGACTCGCCCGGCGGGCCGGCCCGGCGCCCCCCCTCCCGCTACCTCCTCAGCACAGGCTATTGCACGCCGCGCACACAACTTGGACCTTTGAGATGAATTCTCTTCTCCTCGTTTCGTGGCACTTCACACGTAGACGTTCAACTCGCACTCGGTTCGGACCACTTCCACGGCATCATGGAGATAATCGCGGGGGACCTCACAGAGTTCGGCCCGCCGGCACCCCCCCCCGCACAGGCATTTTGTGCCCACCAAACTTTGTTGGACTTTGCACAAAACTTTTCTTGTAAGCAAGAGCTAGGCCGCCCGGCGGCCCGCCGGCTCCCTCCAAACTTATCGGACTGTGACAAACTTTTTTTCCGTTGTGCATTTACACTAGTTAATCGTTCGCACCTCACATATGATAGATGACCCATGGCGCCCGCCGGCACCCCCCCCCCAGCACAGGCATTTCGCCCAGCAAGCAGAGCTAGCCGCCCGGCGGCCCGCCGGCGCCCCCCTCTCCGCCCCCCCTGGCACAGCATGCGCCACCACTTGTGGACTTTGGACAAACTTTTCCGTGTGTGGGCATTTCACACTAGTCTTAATCGTGTGGCACTTCAGCGTATGACAGATGACCCATGGCGGCCCGCCGGCACCCCCCCCCCCCGGCACAGGCATTGCGCCCAGCAAGCCAGAGTAGCCGCCCGGCGGCCCGGCCGGCGCCCCTCCCCCCCCCCAGCCACAGTCATTGCACCAGCAAGCAGAGCTAGCCGCCCCCCGGCAGGCCCGCTCGGCCGCCCCTCCCCGCCGTCCCGCCTCTCAACTCAGGCATTGCGGGTCCTTCTTGTGGACATTTAGTGGAACAACACTCTTCCGTTGGGCAGCATTCTCTATACTAGTCTTCAATCCCTGTGCACACTCTCAGCCTATCTCGAGGACTATGTGGCTGGCCCGCCGCACCCCCGCCCCCGGCACAGCATTCGCACACCAATCATAGTGATTGTGTGCACTCTTTGGTACACAACTTTCTCCGTGTAGCAAGCTTAGCCGCCCGGCGTTCCCGCCGCGCTCCCCAAAACTTTGGACTTTGACAACTTTTCCGTTGTGGCATTCACACTAGTCTTAATCGTGTGGCACTTCAGCGATTATGAGAGATGACCCATGGCGGCCCGCCGGGCACCCCCCCCCCCCGGCACAGGCATTGCGCCCACCAACTTGGACTTTGGACAAACTTTTTCCGTTGTGGCATTCACCACTAGCTTATTCGTGTGCCACTTCAGCGTGTGAGAGATGACCCATGGTGGCCCGCCGGCCCCCCCTCCCCCCGGCCACAAGGGCATTGCCCGAGCAAGCAAGAGCTAGCCGCCCGCGGGCCCGCCGGGCGCCCCCTCCTCCTCCCCCAGCACAGCATTGCGCCCCCCAAACTTGTGGACTTGGACAAACTTTTCCGTTGTGGCATTCACACTAGTCTTAAAATGGGCAAACTCAGCATATGAGAGATGACCCATAGTGCGGCCCACAAGTGAACCCCGCGCCACCACCCATCGGCATATCTGCGGCCCACAACCAAGAGCGCTAGCCGCCCTGGTGGCCCCCGGCGCACCCCTTCTGCCCCCTCGCTCGGCACGAGTGCGTGCTCCGGAACCAAACTTGTGGGACTTTTGGACACAGACTCTTTCCGTTGGCAGTCACACTTACAGTCCTTACTCTCTCCTGGTCTCCCCTAGCTTGCCTACACGATCCCAATGGCGCTAGCCCGATCCGCACCCCCCACGCGTAGTCACCGCGGCTATCGCAGCAGGCAGATCTTTCCCGCAGCCGAGGACGTCTTGCCCGTGCTCGTGGCCCCACGCACTACAGGCATTGCACCCAGCCAAGCAGAGCTAGCCGCCCGGGCCAGCCCGCCGGCCGCCCCCTCTCTCACATACCCATATTCGACCTCCCCCAAACTTGTGGGACACTTTTCGGATACAGACTTTCCGTTGTGCGGCCAATACTACTAGTCTTAATCGTGTGAGTCCGCTATGAGAGCAGAGAGATCTATATCTCAAACGCAGTCGCTCCGCCGGCACCCCCCCCCCCTGGCCCACAGGCATTCCCCACCAACTTGTGGACTTTTGGATACAAACTTTTCGTCTCTCGCAGAGCTAGCCGACCCGGCGGCCGCGGCTCCCCCAAAACTTTAGTGGACTTTGGACAAACTTTCCGTTGTGGCATTTCACACTAGTCTTAATCCGTTGGCACCTTCAGCGTGTGAGAGATGACCCACTGGCGTCTTGGCCCGCGTTCCTCCCCCCGGCAACAGCACGTTGCGCGCTAGCAAGCATTAGCTAAAGGCCGCGCGGCCCGCGCCGGCGCACACCCTCTCTCCTCTAGTCACAGGATTTGCGCCCCCCAAACTTGTGGACTTTGGATCAAACATGTCTTCCGTTGTGTGTTCCACACTCAGATACTCCGGTGTAAACACTGTTTGGCAACTCCAAGCTTGTGACTTGATTTGAGGCACGTCGCAGTGATGCTTGCCGCGACGTTCTACCTGGCCCATCCCTCTCCACGCGCAGTGCACAGTGCACGTTTAGGCCCTAGCTCATAAGCTCGCCCCTCGGTCGGGCGCCCCGTCCAGGCTGCTCGCTCCTCTATCCATGCATTGCGACCCACCCAAAACATTGCGGACTTTGGAGCAACTTTTCCGTGTGTGGCATTCATACTAGTCTTAATCGTGTGCCCACCTCAGCATATGAGAGATACATTGCGGCCCGCCAGCCACCCCCCCCAGCTCACAGCATTGCGCCCAGCAGCAAGGAGCTAGCCGCCGGCGCCCGCGGCGCCCCTCTCCCCCCCCCCGCACAGGCATTGCAGGCCCGAACCCAACGTTGTGGACTTTTGGGACAAACTTTCCGTTGTGGCATTCACACTAGCTTAATCGTGTGGCACTTCAGCGTATGGACAGATTTGACCCATGGCGTGGCCGCCGGCACCCCCCCCCCCGGCACAGGCATTGCCGCCCAGCAAGTGCAGAGCTAGCCGCCCGGCGCCCGCCGGCGCCCCCCTCCCCCTCCCCTGAGTGCGGCACAAGCATTGCCGCCCCCCAAACTTGTGACTTTGGAAACTTTCCTGTAGGCATCACACTAGTCTTAATCGTGTGGCACTTCAGCGTAATGAGAGAGATGACCCATGGCGGCCCGCCGGCACCCCCCCCCAGCACAGCATTGCGCAGCAAGCAGAGTAGCTGCCCGGTGGCCCCCCGGCGCCCCCCTCTCCCTCACCCCCGCCGCACAGGCATTGCGCACCAAACTTGTGACTTTGACAAACTTTTCCGTTGTTGCATATCATAACTAGTCTTAACGTGTGGCACCTCAGCATATGAGAGATGGACCATGGCGGCCGCGGACCCCCCCAGCCACAGGCATTGCGCTCCAGGCAAGCAGAGCTAGACCGCCCGGTTGGCCGCCGGCGCCCGTCCCCCCCCCCCCGGCACGAGGCATTGCGCCCAGCCAAACTTGTGGACTTGGACAAAACTTTTCCGCTGTGGGCATTCATATAGCTTCTTAATCGTGTGGCACCTCAGCATATGAGAGATACATGGCGGGCCCGCCGCACCCCCCCCAGCACAGGCATTGCGCCCAACCAAACTTGGTGGACTTTGGACACAACTTTTCCGTTGTGGCATTTAACTAGTCTTAATCGTTGTGCGCACCTCAGCATATGAAGAGATGACCATGGCGGCCCGCTCGGCACCCCCCCATCAGCCAGGCATTGCCGCCAGCAAGCATGAGCTTAGCCGAACCGGGCCGCGCCGGTGCCCCCTCTCCCCCCCCAGGCACAGGATTGGCGCCCACCAAAACTTGTGGATTTGGCAAACTTTTTCGTTGTGGCATTCATACTATCTTAATCGTGTGGGCACCTCACGCATATGAGAGATGACCATGACCGCGCGGCACCCCCGCCCACGGACAGGCATTGCCCCAGCAAACTTGTGGACTGAGCAAACTTCCGTGTGGCCCGCGAACATCTATCTTCGTGGGACCGATTCGCAGTAATGGAGTATACTCCATTGGCCCACCGGACACATCTATCTTAGAGATGCGCAGCAGCAGACTAGCGCCGTACCCGACCGCTTGCCCTCGTCCCCCCCTGGCCCAACGTGCCTTTGCGCATCAAACTGGGCTTCGGAACTCTTCCCCTTTGTGCCAAACCCCGAGTCCCTATCGTGTGTGGCACAATTCTACAGCAGTAAGAACTTCCATACGGGGCTGGCCCGCCCAGAGCTCCCGCCCCATGCCACCCGATGGTGCCACCAAACTTGTGTGACCTGTTGAGCACTTTACTGTATTACATCGTAGTCCTTCAATATCGTCTGTGGTCACACTCTAGTCATAAATGCAGAGTATGACCCCATGCGACGGCCCGCCGGCATATCCCGGCTGTGCCGCCCAGCAGCAGGCATTGACGGCCCCGCGCCCCTCCCCCACCAGGCATGCCACAAACTTGTGGACTTTGGACAAACTTTTTCGACATAGCAGCGCGGCGCGTCTTATGATGTGGACAATTTACCGCTTAAGTATCTTAATCGTGTCGCACTCAACATATGAGAGATGACCCAGTCGGCGCCGCCGCGTCAACTCCCCATCCCACAGGCATTGCTCGCCCAGCAAGCAGCGCTTAGCGCGCCGACGGCCCGCCGGCGCCCCCCTCTCCCCACCACTCGGCACAGCGCATTACGCCCACGCCAAATTTGAACTTTGAGCAAACTTTTCCGTCTGTAGCATCAGCAGCTAGTCACGGTCCTCGGCGTTGACATCAGCCTGGCGGCCCCCCCGCCCCCGCACAGCATGCCCGCCGGCAGAGGCTAGCCCCCGCGCGGCCCCCCTCAGCTTCCGCCCACCCAAAACTTGTTGGACTTTTGCGAAGAATTTTCCGTGTTGGCAATTTCCACCACTAGTCTTAAATTCGTGTGGCACTCACGTATGACAGAGATGACCCATGGCGGCCGCCGGCAACCCAACCCCCCGCAGCACAGGCATTGCGCCCAGCAAGCAAGCCTTAGCCGCCCGCGTGCCCGCCGGCACTCGCCCCTCCCCCCTCCCCCGGGCACAGGCATTGCGGCCCCAAACTTGTGGACTTTGGACAAACTTTTCCTGTTGTGGCATTCAACTAAGTCTTAATCGTGTGGCCTTCAGATGAGAGGATGACACTATGGCGCCCGCCGGCACCCCCCCCAGCACAGGCATTGCGCCCAGCAAGTCAACTTGGGAACCGTTTGGACAACCGTCGTTGTACGCCAGCTCAGCACCACGCCGGCCGGCTCCCACCAAATTGTGGACTTTGGACAAAACTCTTTCCGTTTGGCATTCATACTAGTCTTAAATCGTGTGGCACTTCGCGTATGAGAGATTGACCCATGGGGCCCGCCGGCACCCCCCCCCGCACAGGCATTGCGCCCAACCAAACTTGGTGACTTGTGGACAAACTTTTTCCGTTGTGGCATTACAACTAGTTCTTAATCGTGTGGCACCTCAGCATATGAGAGATGACCATGGCGGCCGCGGCACCCCCCCCAGCACAGGCATTGCGCCAGCAGCAGAGCTAAGCCGCCCGGTGGCCCGCCGGTGCCCCCTCTCCCCCCCCCGCGCACAGGCATTGCGCCCACCAAAACTTGTGGACTTTGGACAAACTTTCCGTTGTGGCAATTCATACTAGTTCTTATCGTGTTGGCACTCAGCATAATGAGAGATGACCATGGCAGCCCGCCGAGGCACCCCCCCCCCAAGCACGGCATTGCGCCCAGCAAGCAGAGCTAGCCGCCGGTGGCCGCCGGCAGCCCCTCTCCCCCCCCCGGCACAGGCATGCGCCCACCAACTTGTGGACTTGGACAAACTTTTTTCGTTTGTGGCATTCATTACTAGTCTTAAATCGTGTGGCACCTCAGCATATGAGAGATGACCATGGCGGCCCGCCGCACCCCCCCCGCACAGGCATTGAGCCCACCAAACTTGTGACTTGGACAAACTTTTCCGTTGTTGGCCATTTACACTAGTCTTAAATCATGTGGCACCTCAGCATATGAGAGATTGACCCATGGTTGGGTCCGCCGGGGACACCCTCCCCCAGCACACGGCACTTGCCGCCCAGGCAAGCAGAGCTAGCCGCCCGGCGGGCCCACCGGCCCTGCCGCGGCCCCTCCCCTCCCTCCCCGCACAGGCATTGCAGCCACCAAACTCTTGGACTTTGGATACCAACTCTCCGTGTGGAGTGCCCGTCCGGCAGGCCCGCCGGCTCCCCGAAATATGTAGGGTCTGGATACCAAACTTTTCCGTGTAGGCTCCTTCTTCACACACCTCTAACGTGTGGATACAGCTATTATGAGAGATGACCTCCGCCGGAGCGCCGTCCATTACCTAGCTGCTGCTACCCAACGTGGCAAGTTTGTCCAAAAAAGTCCAACAAGCTCTGGTGGGCCCGCCAATGCCTGTGCCGTGTGGGGAGGGGGAGGGGCGCCGGCGGGGCCGAGTCGTGGCCGCCCCGGTCGCGAGCCACTAGCTACTGTCTTCTGCTGGGGCGACACAAATGCCCTGTGCTGGGGAGGAATCCACCTGTCCTCCTGATACATACGCTGCGCGTGCCATGGCTCGCTCTATTTCTCATATGCTGAGTTCAGTTATCGGATCTGAACGTGGCAAGTTGCGCACCACAATGCAGTTCAATCAGCGTATCTCAAGTGTAAATGTTACGAAATAACTTATGCTTCCTACATGAAGATGTGTGTGTGTGGGCTCAAATGCCTGTGCGGGGGGGCAATCGTTAAGCATTCCTTCTGGTCGCCCTGGCTGGGCCGCCATGCGGTCATCTCTCATTATGCTGAAGTGCCACACGATTAAGACTAGTGATGAATGCCACAAACGAAAAGTTTGTCCAAAGTCCACAAAGTTGTGTTTAATGCCTGCTGGCCGGTATGGGGTGCGGGGTGTTGTAATCTGTGCGTGCCTCTCGATTGGCTTCCGGC